CCTCTTCCCTGGACCCCTGGCAACCACCATTTATTTTCTGTTTCTGTGAATTTGACTACTTTAAATACTTCATGTAAGTGGAATCAAACAGTATTTGTCCTTCTGACTGGCTTATTTCATTTAACAAAAAGTCCTCAAGATTCATCCATGTTGGAGCATGTGACAGGACTGCTTTATTTTTATTTCTTATTTTATTAAAAATTTTTTGTTTTAAACTTATCTTTATTGTTGAATGTATTACAGGTGCCCCCCTTTCTCTCATTGATCCCCTTCTCCCCACTCTAGCCCCCCTCCTGCCTTCCCCATGCTATTGTTGGTGTCCATTGGTTATACATATATGCATATAAGTTCTTTGGTTTATCTCATCCCACCCAACCTCCCCCCTTCCCTTTGAGTTTCATCAGTCTAACAAACAATTTGTACTTCTTAATTCCTTCATGTTTTTTACCCAGCCCCCAGCCCCCTCCCATCTGGCAACCAACAAAGCTAATCAGTATCTATGAGTCTGTTTCTGTTCTGCTTACTCATTTTGTTTGTAGATTCAGTTATTGATAAATATATATTTATTGCTATTTTATTGTTTATATTTTTGTTCTTCTTCTTCAAGAAGACCCATCAACATTTCATGTAATACTATTTTGGTGGTGATGAACTCCGTTAGCTTTTTCTTGTCTGGGAAACTATATGTCCATTGATTCTAAATGATAGCTTTGCAGGATAAAGTAATCTTGATTGTAGGTTGCTCCTTTTCATCACTTTGAATATCTGTTGCCACTCCTTTCTGGCCTAAAAAGTTTCTTTTGAGAAATCAGCTGACAGTTGTATGGGAGCTCCCTTGTAGGTAACTAACTGCTTTTCCCTTCCTGCTTTTAAGAATCTCTCTTTGTCTTTAACCTTTTGCATTTGGATGATAATGATGTGTCTTGGTGTGGACTTAATTGGGTTTATCTTGTTTGGGATTCTATGCTTCCTGGATTTGTATGTCTGTTTTCTTCACCAAGTTACAGAAGTTTTCTGTCATTATTTTTTCAAATAGGTTTTCAATTTCTTGCTCTCTCTCTTCTCCTTCTGGCACTCCCATGATGTGAATGTTGGTGCACTTGAAGTTATCTCAGAGGCTCATTTTTTTTGGAATCTTTGTTCTTTGGGTGTTTTTTGCTTCCTTATATTCCAAATCGATGATTTGCTTCTTAGCTTCACCTACTCTACTATTCCCTGTGAATTATTCTTTATTTCATTTAGTGCATCCTTCATTTCTGACTGGACCTCTTTTATGCTTTTGAGGTTCTTACTAAGTTCATTAGCATCCTTAAAACCAGTGTTTTGAACTCTGCATCTGTTAGATTGCTTATCTCTGCTTTGTTTAATTCTGTTCGTAGAGTTTTGTTCTATTCTTTCATCTGGGACATGTTTCTATGTCTCCTCATTTTGGCTGCCTCCCTATGTATTAAGTAGAGTTTCTATGTCTCCTAGGCTTCATAGGATGGCCTATTGTAGTAGGTGTCTTGTAGGGCCCAGTGGCACAGCCTCCCTGGTCACCCCAGCTTTGCCCTTGAGGTGTACCCCTTGTGTGGACTGTCCACCATTCTGTATTTGAATCTTGATTGCTGTTGGCACGTCAGTGGGAGGGATTTACTCAGGCTGATCAGCTGCAAGGACTGGCTGTGCCCACTGTCCACTGACCTTTGACCACCTTGGAAGATCACCTGTGCTGGGCCCACCACATAGAGCAAGACTTACTTCAGCAGGGCTCTGGTATCCACTGAGTCCACTCCTTGAGTGTGTCAGTTGTGGAGGTGGTTGGGTGGTGGTGCTTCAACTTGGTCTGCGCTGTTCACTGGGTGTGTTGGCTCTGGGGCAAGGTCACCCACTGCCTGTGCTCTATCCAGGGCCACTAGGCATAAGCTACAAAGTGATCTGCAGATGGCTGCTGCTTGTGCTGGGCTTGGAGGTGCCCAGGCCAAGCCAGGCTATGAACCAAGGCTGGCTGCTTCTAGTGCCAGGCCTGGGGCCACTTAATGAGAGGTATGGGGCTTGCTGAGGCCAGATGCTGCTTGTTTGAGAGAATTTAGGAAAATCTGAAGCAGGAACCAAGACAGGACAATCCTATGGTAAAGCCACTGGAAACAGCTTGGGTGGGCCTGAAAGTTGGGTAGGGCAGGGCCTCAGGGAATCACCAGGGCGGGGCAAACAGTGTGAGCCAGATTGCTGGAGTCCCAGATGTGGTGCCCACATGGCTGCCCTGTCAGGGAACGGCTCACCAAAGGAACAATGGTCTCCACCAGCACTTCTGTCTGGGAGAAAGCTGCCCCTCCATTTCTTGCCCAGACGCCAGCCAACTCAGTTCTCCTCACATGTCTCTGGTGCCTTTCAAGGTGCCTCCCCTATGCTGGCGCCTGGAGGGTGTGAGTCTGAGTAAGTCATTTTGTGGGCTCTTTAAGTGGAGCTGCCTGGGGCTTCAGCAGCCTCCGCATCCCTCAGCCTCAGTCCTGGTGGTTTTTACAGCCAGAGGTTATGGGGACTTCTCTTCCTGGCACTGGAACCCTGAGCTGGGGGCCTGGTGTGGGATGGGGACCCCTCAGTCCTCAGGGAGGACCTTCACAGCTGAGGTGTCCTGATTTTTTTTCACCACATGTGGGGATGGCACCAGCCTGTCCACACCTCTGCCCTTCCTACCAGTCTCAACATGGCTTCTTTAATTCCGTAGTGGGAGGACTTCCATTCAGGCGGTTCTAAATGAGGGTTGTTCTGTAGTTGTAATTTTGATGTGATTGTGGGAGGAGGCGAGTACCTCGTTTACACCACCATCCTATTATTTATTTATTTATTTATTTTAAAATATGTTTTTACTGATTTTTTTAGAGAGGGGAAAGGAGAGAGATAGAAACATTGATGTGAGAAACACTGATTATTAACTGTACTCTAATGATGTTTGAATAAATAAGTTTTAATTAATCCATTTTTTTATTTTCTGACTTCTACTGACTTATCTTTCATACTTGTTAGAGTGAATATGAGCACAAATAGCAGATGACATATTTAGCATTATAGAATGTTTGCCTCCTGCTTGCCCCCTACTGGGGATTGAGCTGGTAACCTAGCATGTGCCCTGACTGGGAATGGAACTGGGACTTCTCAGTCCATGGAATGACGCTCAACCCACTGAGCCAGACCGGTTGGCAGGACTGCTTCCTTTTTAAAGCTGAGTAGTATTACATTGTCTGTGTAGACCACTTTTGTTTGACTCGCTGTCTGTGGACATTGCGGTTACTTCCACCTCTTGGCTATTGTGAACAATGCTGCCATGAATGTGGGTGTAGAAATTATCTCCTCATGATCCTGCTACCAGTCTGTTGGACATATACTAGGAAGTGGAATTGCTGGATCGTAAGGTAGTTCTACTTTTATTTTTTTGAGGAAACATCACACGGTTTTCCATAGTGACAGCATCATTTTATATTCTCATCAGCAGTATATGACTGTACTCTAATGATGTTTGAATAAGTTTTAATTCATCCATTTTTTTATTTTCTGACTTTTACTGACTTATCTTTCATACTTGTTAGAGTGAATATGAGCACAAGTAGCAGATGAGATATTTAGCATTATAGAATGTTTGTCTACCAAGGATGTGTTCCAGGGTCATGTCTATACATTTTAGAGTCAGTTCTTTAATTAGAGGAAACCTTATCTGAACTAGTTTAAGTAAAAAGAGGGATTTTATTACAAGGAAACTGGGATTGAATCTAAGCATGGTAATGTGGCAGGGCCTTAGAAATCACTAAAAATGGGACATGGTAGTCTTGATGGCTGTTTTTCTTTCATTGTGTATTATGGCTCGTTACAAATCCTGAACCCTCTGGCTTTAGCCACCCAAAGACTGAGGTGCTCAGTTGGTCCCAGGGACAGGGAATGATGGGCGTGGCTGGGATCCATTGCCTGACCTGATACACCTGACCACAAGCATGTTCAGGATAATGGAGCCAATGCCAGGGCCCAGCAATATCTATGGGAACTATATGGATTGACTGGCAGCTGCTGGTAGTCAGAAAGAAAGGGAATGAATGCTAGAGAGATGGAATGAAAAGTATGCTCATTAAGTCTTCATAAACTAAACTTAGTGAATAGTAATTGAATCATGGAGCTTGAAAAGTTTTGAGTAAGGACTATTAAAATGACCCAAGGCAAAGAATTAATAAAATAAAAAATTCTGACTGTTTAGTAGTATATATAAAGTTGAGAACCAAGATGGGAATTTCTTGAAATTCTTAAAATTATGAAAGATAAACTCATTGACTAATTTCTGGGATGATTTGAACTAAGGAATATATTTTATTTTTTTATTATTTTAAAATCCTCACCTGAGGATATTTTTCCATTTATCTCCAGACTGAGTGGGAGGGAGAGAGAGAGAGAAATATCAATGTGAGAGAGACACATCAATTGGTTATCTCCCGAATGACCCCACCAGGGCTGGGGATCTAACTGCAACCAAGGTACATGCCCTTGACTGGAATCAAACCCACAACTCTTTGGTCCAAGGACCGACGCTCTACTGCTGAGCCAAACTGGCCAGGGCAAGGAATAGATTTTAAAATGTCTTAACACTGCCATTTAGTGTAGAAAGTAGAAAATTACATATCAAACAGCAATAAATTACCTTATATAATTTACTTCAGGACATTTGAAAATATATGAGGGATATCTTAGACAAATTGATGTGTTATGGCTACATAATGGAGACATTCAGAGGAAATTAGTGTGTAGCCTTAACCTTCTGAAGTCATGGAGGGAATTATTTTCTCATCAAGCGTTAGCATTGACGGTACTCGTTAAAAATTATTTAGTACTACTATGTGTCAGGTACTGTGCTAGACATTTTTATATCTATTATCTCATGTTTTGTTAAATTGCTAACAATTTGGTACTCGCAATTTGTTAAATTGAATATCCTAGGATGTTTTCCAGCAGAATTATTAACACTTTGCTTCTCCTTTCAGAGATGTGGTATTGGGTCTTCCTGTGGGCTCTCTTCTCCTCTCTGTTTGTCCACGGTGCTGCGGGTGTGCTGATGTTTGTGATGCTGCAGAGGCACAGGCAGGGGAGAGTGGTCTCGGTCATTGCCATCAGCATCGGGTTTCTGGCTTCTGTAACTGGAGCAATGATCACTAGTAAGTTGACTTTGTTTTGTTTAAGGACAGCATTTTATATGCACTTGCAGTTTTGGTAATGTTATTCTTATTGTCATGGTAACATGTCACCTTTTATGAAGAGTATTTTTCAGCACTGATCATACTTCACCTAGAACAATGGTTCTCAACCTGTGGGTCGCGACCCCTTTGAGGGTTTTCACAGGGGTCGCCTAAGACCATTGGAAAACACATATTTCCAATGGTGATTCGTAAAAGTAGCAAAATTACAGTTATGAAGTAGCAATGAAAATAATTTTATGGTTGGGGGTCACCACACTTGAGGAACTGTATTAAAGGGTGGCGGCATTAGGAAGGTTGAGAACCACTGACCTAGAAGGTAAAGATTAGTTCATTTATTCACTGAAATAGTTTTTTATACTTCTACTATGAAAAGACTTATGTTTTGTGGGAAATGCAAAAACTTGTAAAAATTGGCAAGGGGCAAGGCAATTCATGGGAAAATTTATCTTATAGTGGATGTAGTTTCTGCTTTAAAGGAGCTCACTATCTCGGAAGGGTAGGCACACAAATAGGATGGTGATAATTGTCTTTTAAAAAGAGTGAAAATATAGCCCTTAGGCTATGTCACCTGCCTATAAATATAAAATAAAATTGTACTTCCTTCGCATACACAAATTGTCACAAATCTCCCCGGCCTACTAGAAATTAGCCACTGTAGGTTGTCCTCTAGCTATCTGCAAGTTTTCTGCTGTGCTGCCCCTTGTGTATTTCATGCATGGCCTCAGGTCCATTCCCTCTGGCCCTCTCTTCTTATTTTTTTTAATCCTCACCCGAGGAGAGATATGTTTCTATTGATTTCTTTCTTTTTTTTAGAGAGAGAAGAGAGAGGGAAAGGGAGATGGAGAAAGAGAGATAAATATCCATGTGAGAGAGAAACATTGATTGGTTGCCCGTGTGTGCACACTGACCAGGGGATCGAACCCACAACCTGGGTATGTGCCCTTATCAGGAATCAAACCCTTGACCTTTCGGTGTATGGGACAGTGCTCCAAGCAGCTAAGCCATCCAGCCAGGGCTGGCCCTCTCCTCTTAGCCCTGTCCTCAGGCTCCAGCTCTAGCCTTGGGTTCACAGTGGTGGTTTCCGCTGTGCTGGCTGAGCCAGAACGTCACTGCATGTTGCCGAGACTGGAGGATGCCACAGCTGCTCCCTCTGTGGCCCTGCCAGAAACTGGCTGCTGCTGCTGGTCAGCCTCTAGAATACTAGAGGCTGGTCTTGCCCTTTGCTTCTGGCCCACTTCCAAATGTCTGGGGCAGCTCATTGCTCCCACTAGATCTGCTTTAAGACTCTCCAAAAAGGACTTCTTCCTTTCTCGGTTCTTAGCCACAGAGGTAAGAGGAGGTCCTTTTCTTTTATAGCTCTAAGGCCTTTCCTTTTGTGTCCCCTCTCACTTTTTCCCAGAGTGATTGGCATACTTGCCTTGACGGGAAAGCCCATGTCTCTGGGTATGTCCTGTGGCAATAGTAAGCCAACCAGTTGTGGAAAGTAGTGCGTAACCTATTTTTTCCTTTCTTCATTTACTTTTTTTTTTTGTATGTTATCTTGTGTTAGATTTTTGTTGTTGCTTTTTGTCTTTGCTGTATTCAGCCTGTAACTTTATCATATGGTACCTTATCCATTTTGCCATAGATAAGGCTTAAAACAAGTGCTCAGGTTCAGCTGAAGTATAGGACGTGCCTAGTGAAGTAGTAGGAGACTCAGCTGGAATGATATGCTGGAGCCAGATCCTAGAGGATCTTGGAAGGCCAGCTGGAAAGTGCTGCAGGCTGTGGAAAACAAACAGATACATGTATATTTTTTTTAATTAAAAAAATTTTTTTATTGGTTTTAGAGAGAGGAAGGGAGAGGGAGAGAGATAGAAACATTGATGAGAGAGAACATCAACTGGCCGCCTCCTGTATGCCCCCACTGGGGATCGGGCCCACAACCTGGGCATGTGCCCTGACCGGGAATCAAACCAGAGACCACTTGGTGCATGGGTCGTCGCTCAACCACTGGGCCACACTGGCCGGGCCAAACAGATATTTTTGAATGGAGCTGGCAAGGGGTAAAACAGTTCAATGGGAAAATGTGTTTTATAGCTAAATGTAGAATATATGTGAGGAAGCAAGAGGAAACTTTGAAAGAGCAGGGATCTTCTCTCTCTTTACCCCTGTATCCCTAAAATAAAATACTACCTGGAACATAATAGATACTCAAAAAATACTGGTTGGATGGATGGATGTAGTGAGGGAGAAAGAGTGAAAGAAAGGAAGAAAGAAAGGACAGGAAAGAAGGGGAAGGAAGAGGAATTAATAGGCAATAACTGTACTCTGAACTTGAAGTCAGATCTGAACTAGAGTGGCAGTGGGTTGAAGGAGTTAACGTTAGGAATATGGCAAAGGGGAAAAAATCCAAATTAGTTCTTGTTTACTTTGGTGGCGTGCAGAGAGGCGTGAAGGGGACTGCCAGTGCTTTGAGGAGGCCACTGCGGTGCTGGTGGAGCAGCGAACAGGAGGGGAAAGGAGGGGGAGCGTGCTCAGAAGTCCGCGTACGTGCGCGTCCTTACTGGCGCAAATGTTTAAAACTGAAGGAATGTCATTCTGCTTCCTTTTGTTTCAGATATATATACACATATATTACCTACTTTCAGTTCAGTCAAGAATTAAGCCAATGATTTCATAAACTGCAATGTCATATTTTTAAAATCTTTGAAAATATAAATCTGACATAATTTCAAGTAAACAGTTTGTATCCAGATTAGTAAGAAAACATTTAAATTTATTCTGGCTAGTTTTTTAAGCTGCAAACACTTAAATTAAGAAAACTAGCCAATGTGAATGTTTCACTAAATTTTCTCAGTGTGATTTGTGTGTTGGAGCACTCATAGTTTTATATCCAGTGCAGCAAACGATTCTTGGATATCTTTGTTGAACAGATACTGACAGAATATTGATATATTTCTCTTATATTTTGCTACTACTTAGATTTTATTTCCAGAATAAAATAATTTTTAAATTTTATTTTGGTTACTATGGATAGTTAATACCAGAATTGGGAGAAACTGGGTTTCTATGCAATGCCATCATTTAGCATTATACACATATCTGTCTAGTTTTTGCAAGGTATAAAGTGAAATCTCATTGTTGGTTTAATTCTCTGATTACTAAATGAATTAGAACATTTCTTTTTATACTTATTATATATTTAGATATCCTTTTCTGAAAATTGCTTCTTTTGAATCTGTGCTTACTTTTCTTTTGTGGTTCTTGTTTCTGTCTTACTAAATTACAGATGTCCTTATATATTAGAGATATTGGTCTCTTGTTTGTTTTGGACTCTGCGAATAACTTCTCAGTCTTTTATCAGTTAGTTACCTTCATCCTTGATGTTATTTATTTGGGCAGAAATTCTTAATTTCTTCATAATCAGCTTAAAGATGTTTTTATTTTTTATTTATTTATTTTTTTAATCCTCACCCGAGGACATTTTTCCATATTTTATTCAGATAGAGTGGGAGGGAGAGAGAGAGAAAGAAAGAGAGAGAGAAACATAGACATGAAAGGGACACATCGAGTGGTTGCCATCCGCACGACCCAACCAGGGCCAGGGACAAACTGCAACGGAGGTACGCGCCCTTAGCGGGAGCCGAACCTGGGTCTCTCTGGACCGCAGGCCGAAGCTCTAACCGCTGAGCCAAACCGGCCAGGGCTTAATGATGTTTTTAAAAAATTATTTTCTCTTTATTGATTTGAGAGAGAGAGGAAGGGAGAGGGAAAGAGAGAGAAACATCGATGAGACAGAACATCAACTGGCCACCTCCTGCATGACTCCCACTGGGGATCCAGCCTACAACCTGGGCACATGCCCGATAGGGAATTGAACCAGCGACCTCTTGTTGCATAGGTCAAGGCTCAACCACTGAGCCACACCAGTCAGGCAGCTTAAAGATTTTTTTGCCTTATGGTTTATAATTTAGGGTTTTATTTAATAATTTTCCCCCCACACCAAGGTCAAAAGATTTTCTAATGTACGTATTGTCTTTTGTTAGCTTTACAGTTTTACCTTTTATATTGAGGTCTTTACTTCATCTAGAGCAGATGTGAGCAAACCTTTTCTTAAAGGACCATATTGTAAATATTTAAACTTTGTAGGTCAGATGATCTCTATCACGACTATTAAATTTTGCCACTGTAGTATAAAAGCAGTCATAGACATATGTAAATGAGTAGGCTTGGCTTTTAAAATAAAACTTTATAGCCCTGGCCAGTTTGGCTCAGCAGTTAGAGTGTTGGCCTGCGGTCCAGAGAGACCTGGGTTTGGTTCCCGCTAAGAGCACATACCTCGGTTGCAGTTTGTCCCCGGCCCTGGTTGGGTCGTGCAGGTGGCAGCCACTCAATGTGTCCCTTTCACGTCGATGTTTCTCTACCTCTCTCTCCCTCCCACTCTATCTGAACAAAGAAATGAAAAAAATGTCCTCGAGTGAGGATTTAAAAAACAAACAAAAAAACTTTATATACAATGCCAGATGTCTGGCATTCAGGTTATAATTTTCCCCCTGATTTAAAGTCTACCTTTGTATTTCGTTTTAGGTAGGATCCCAGGTACCTTTATTCCTCCCATAGAGGAGTCCAATTTCTACTACACCGGCACTAAAATATAAATTTCCTCATTGATTTGTGCCATCACCTTTTTGTGTATTATGTTCTTATGGTACATAGATAAGTCTTGAACTCTGATTTGTTAGTCTTTTTATTTGTTTTTGTAGCAGGGCCACATTTTTTTATCCCTGTGATTTTGCAGACCTTATTTTATTGTGCTTCATTTTATTGCTCTTCACAGATGTTGCATTCTTTTACAAATTGATTGCAAAACCTCCACCAGCAAAAAGATTAGAACTTATTTTATTGCAATACTTGCTTTGTTGCAGTGGTCCGGAACCAAACACACAATATCTCTGAGGTGTGACTGTATTTCTTAA